AGACACAAAACGAAATCTGAATGAAGTTATACATCAGCTACAGGCACGGGAGAGTTTTGAACATAAAAGGAAACAGTACAATACAAAACTGTTCAATCTGAGCAAAGAGCTCGCTCTGAAACTCAAAACCACAACAACTGATGAACAAGTTCTTAAAGATGAATTTGATAAAGTGTGGGACAGATGCGTCACTGAACTGACACAAGACCCCCGAGAGAACGTTTGATTTTTGGAGGATGCTGAACAGATTCTGTCTGTGGAAATGAACACGCTTTTGTGTTTGAGCGATAGTCCAACACTACAGACACATAGACAGACTGGGAGATTATTCATGTTACATTTCAAAACTCAGAGGTAAAATTCCTCTTCATTACATTCCTGGCATGAATAAACCTTCTTCTGAAGACAATGATTTAGTAAGATCTCTGGCCATAAATCTGATCAGAGAATCCAAGGGATTAATCAGTGAGATCTGTAACAACATCAGAAGACTCGGTACAAAGACAGCTACATACAGGAAATAACAGACCAGGTCAGGAAGAGAGTTGAGGAACATTACAGTGGAAACCAGAGAATTCATCTCAAAAAGGAATTCACTCTGGATCTCTGTCTTCATGTGTGTGAATGTGCGAGTCACAGATTTACTGAACATCATAAACAATTCAGGGATGGAAATGATCCTAGAGTTTATCTGTCCAAGCAGAAACCACAATATTACAGTGTCTTTAAAAACTACTGCAGAGGAGCAACAACAACAACAGTGTTTGGTGAACTGATCTGCAGTAACCTGAGAGAGTCCATCCTGCAAGCGGTTTACAATAAAACTGCTAGAGATCTGGCAGATCAGATGATATCAGACATGCCAGAGTTTAATGGTAACAGATCTAACCTTGAGAAACACATCCTGAAATGTCTGGCAGAGGAGGAGAACTTTGAGAAGTACATGGAGTACATTCATAATCCCCAAAAGCACTTCAAACACTTCATTACAGAGAAGGTTAATCAGTACATTACTGAAAATAACACCAGAGTTCTGAACCTTTTTAAAGGAAATCTAAAAGACAAAGAGCAGAGAGTAATAAATGCTGTTTACATTGCAGCTGAAGAGGTGAAGACCAGGCGTGGTGATGCAGACATGTGGCTGAGAAGTTTTACCAGTTCACTAAAAGATGAACTGAGTTTAAAAGAAATAACCTTCACTGATCAGAAAGAAAATTACAGACTGTGATTTTCTACAGCAGGTCGTTAGTGAAGGTCTCACCGAAATGATGTCAGAGCTCCACAAAACTTTAACAGTGTAAAAGACATCGAAATGGGAGAAGTTCAGGAAGAAACCAGATGAGATTCTGATTGAACACCTCTGTTAGTGCTGCTGGGTTCAGTGTCCATTCTGTAACGCCATCTGTACCCCCACACAATGGAGGATCATAATGGAGATCACAGTGTCCCCTTACACAGGGTAGATGGTATCAATGGGTGGAGGTACGGAGGTACCACTAACCTTTGCTCTCATTTCTGCACAACAAATGTGCAAAGTAATAAATCTTTCTACCCCAGTCATGATACAGATGAGTCAGTAACTTACAAATCATACAGAAGAGCAGGAGGAGTATATAAGACCTGGAGTATCACCCCTGATAATTCACAGCTCGCATACTGGAAATGGTTTTGTGCAGATTCCAGAAAGACCTGGAGAATCACTATGAGAAAAAATTTCAAGGTCGTGGGTGAGATCCCCAGTGAATGGAGAGAGTTCACTAAAGAACAAGCTATTGAGACTTTAGATGAATATATCTGATGTAAGACACAATTCTCCTAAACAGAACCTGGCAGAAACAGCAACTTAATCATGAACCAATCATAAATAAAGAAGATCAGCCTGTATTAGTGGTGACACAAATGATAAATATTATTTCTTTAGATTATATTTAGACTATATTGATTAATAAATATACTAGAAAACATACATATAGATTATAGTCAGAATAATTACTGTATATATCACTGTTTTATGTGTTGTTTTTCTGTATCTACACAGCATTTAAACATCACATTATATCAGTGAGAATATTAATCCTAGAAAGTAATTGAGTATGATATGATCCTTTTTTTTAATTAATGTGAACCTTATAAAACCGTGAATAGATGCCTTTAACCAACAAGTGACACAGGACCCAGTCAAAGATCTGATCACAGAGCTGCGGAGCTGCGGTTAAGAATCTCCCCTCAAGAACAGATCACTGAGGATCCTTTAACTCTGGGATGAGTCATTATTAATTTTAATGAAGCTTTTCCGCAGGATGCTACATAACTCCCACAGTATGTTAACATTTACTCTCTCTTGTTTTTTTGTATCAAGACAACATAACATGTTCAAATTCATCACATTATATAAAGAGAATATTAATCATGCACTGTGTTTGATTATATGATTCTTGTTCATTTGGTTTGAGGGTCATAAATAAAAGTATACATATATAAATAATAAGATAATAAAGCAAAGACATGCATGGTAAACTGATTGTCCGTAGTGCATGAATGGGTGTGTGAATGTGTATGTCATGGTGCCTGCAATGTACTGGCACCCTGTCCAGGGTGTACCCGCCTTCGTGCCCAGGATAGGCTCCAGGTTCCCTGTGACCCTAAAAAGGAATACGTGATAGAAGACCGGATGGAAGGCTCCCGCGTCCGCCCCCATCCGTGTACTAAACTACCTGGATGACTGGTTAATTCTAGCACGAAGGGAACAGGCGGTTCAGCATCAAGATGTTGTTCTCACCCACATGAGGAGCTTGGGGCTCTGGTTGAACCTCAAGAAATGTATGCTTTCTGCTGTGCAGAGGACAACTTTTCTAAAGGTTATATGGGATTCCTACTATGCTGAGGGCGTTTCTATCCCCAACATGCATACAATCAATCCTATCAACTTTGAGCAAGATAAAGCAAGGTCGGATATCCCCTCCAGCCTTTATGGAGGCTGTTGGGCCTTATGGCAGCAGCAGCCAATGTTTACCATTGGGCCTATTGCACATGAGAACCGTTTCAGTGGTGGCTGAAAAGTCGGGGTTTCACCTGAGGATGAAACCTCTGAGAGTAATCAGAGTTGCGTGGCGATGCCTACGTGCTTCTGACTATTGAGGTGCCCGCAGTCCTAGCCTCGGGCACACTCTAGGGGCGTCCCCCTTACCGCAAGACAGTAATGACAGATGCGTCCCTCACGGGCGGGGGCGGCGGTCTTAAATGGCGTCCAGCTCACGGTCTTTGAGCCGCCCTCATCTGAAGTGGCATATAAATCGCTAGAGATGCGGGCCATATTCCTAGCACTGAAAATTTTTCTCCCTTCAGTTGAGAGGTCACAGTGTGCTTGGTGGGACAAAAAACACCGCTGGGCTCTTATATAACAACCACCAGGGGGGGTTATGTTCACGCCCCTGTTCAGGCAGGCACAACTAATTCTCCTCTGGGAAGAGGGAAAAGTTCTTGTCAGTGATTGCAATGTGCATTCCAGGCAGCCGGAATGTAGGGGCAGATATCCTGTCGAGGCAGTGGCTGAGGCCGGGGGTTGGAGGCTCCATCCACAAGTGGTGGAGTCCATATGGCAGAAGTCCGGACAAGCGGAAATGGATGTGTTCTCCTCCAAGGAGACAAACACACTGCCCGCAGTGGTTCGCCCCTCACCTCCTGCACCATTGGCGGGACGCGGCTGCAGTACTACGTGGCTGAGGTCACGTCTATACGCTCTTCCCCGATTGCTCTGCTCCCACAAGTTCTAGCAAGAGTTCGCCAAGACCGTCTACATCCGCTGCTAGTAGCACCTTATTGGCCAGCTCGAATATGGTATTTTCGGAGATAATGTCCCTGCTCAACGGCACTCTAGGAGAATTCTCATCCGCAGGGGACCCACATCCGGCTGATCTAATCACCCTCAGTCAGAACTATGCATACTGTGGGTCTGGCCCCTGAGGGGCACCAGTTCATAGATTCTGGTCTCAAAACTGAGGTTGTGGAGACCTCGATGTTAGAACACTAGAGCACCATCCGTACGAAATTGTATGCGCTCAAGTGGCGGCTTTTTGTCTTGTGATGTGAGGAACGCCACAGTTAGACTCAGTGAATTTTGCAATAGCTACAGTCCTGAGTTCCTAAAGAACGTTTCTCAGCAGGGGTTGGCTCCTTCTTCAATCAGGTTTTACGTGACCACCGGTTCATGTGTGTGGTGTCAGACGCCGAGGCCCATCTGCAGGCCGTGAGTACCTTCCTGGGACCTTTTTCTGGTCTTTGAAGGTCTGTCAGGGGGCCCCATTTGAGCCCCTTAGAGTCAGCCTCTGAGAAGCTTCTGACTCTAAAGGTAGCTCTTCTACTGGCCCCTAACATCTATCACGCAGTGGGAGATCTCATGCCTCTCTGTTGCCCCTCCTGCCTTGATTCGCCGCCATGGACTCAGCCCCTGCCCACCCTGTGGTGTTGCAGGCCTTCTGCCCTCCTCCGCCCCCCACACCAGAACAAGAAAGGATGCACCTGCTGTGTCCAGTAAGGGCTCTCTACTTACGCCCACTGCCCCGGCCAGTGGCGTAAGTCGGAGCAGCTGCTGGTCCGTTTTGGTGGCAACAGTAAAGGTGATGCTGTTTCAAAGCAGCACATCTCTATTGGATAGTGGAAGCATCTCCTATTGCTTACAAAGCACGCAGTCTCGCCACGCCTCAGGGCGTAGAGCCCATTCCACTAGGGCGGTCTCCTCCTCGAAGGCTTTGTCCAAAGGGGGTATCCTTGCAGGAGTGTGTGTGTGGCTGCAGGTGGCATATGCCCCACATTCATTCTTTGTTATTACAGCCTGTATATTCATTCCTCCCCGGCTCGAAGTGTCCTGCAGTGACCCTCAGGCTTGGTTTTTTTGAACATTCCTGTCCAGTGTAAATCCAAACTCCTCCTCAGATTATGAGGTCTTCTGCATGTTGTTGTTGTTTTAAAAATTCTCTAATTTATTAAATAGACATTAAAAGGGCAGTGGTAGCTTAGTGGGTAAGGCTCTGGGTTATTGATAGGAAGGTTGGGGGTTCAAGCCCCAGCACTGCCAAGCTGTGCCACTGTTGGGCCCATGAACATGGCCTCTTAACCCTCCCTGCTCCAGGGGTGCTGTATCATGGCTGACCCTGTGCTCTGACCCCAGAATCCTGCGCAGGCTGGGGTATGTGAAGAAAACAATTTCACTGTGCTCTACTGTATATGTGACCAATTTTTTATTTGACAGTAGGAGAGAAAATAACTGCCATTTCAGCACTCAAGTTGGACCCATAGCTAGGACCCCATTCTCCTTCACCATTTTACCCGTACCATTGCTTAGGTCACTGTGAGTCTCTTGCAACAGGATCACATTCATATCTTTTAGCTGTACTATCTCAGAAAGTAACCTGTTTTTTCTTCCACCCCTCATTCCATTGATATGTATAGATCCCACCATGTAGACTCCATAAAGAAAAGGGAGAGGAATAAAGAGAAAGTACATTAAAAAGAGAAATTTAATCAACATTGATGTTTGAGCTTTTATTTGCCTCGGTTATTCTTTCATTCCCTGTTTGTTTCCTTTGTCTAATGGTGGTTAGATGCTTATACTCGATATTTCTTCTGTTGTGAGAGCTCATCGTAATTGCTAGTTTTCCTTGCCATTATAACAAATGCAATGTATTTTTAGGCTCTGAAAGTAAGTCACTGAGTTCTACACCTGTTTTTCCTTTGTCTCATCTAAAAGGTAGTTAATCTCTTTAAGGGTATACAAATCTTGTTCAGCCACACTTCCTATATCTGTATCTGACCAGTGTTCTTCATCTCTCGACCCATCTCGCACATTGGGACATGTCATCTAACCTCATCAGGCTCATTATCTTCTGTTTGGTTGATTAGATAATTACATGAATAAGTAGGTGTACAGGTGTTCCTAAACAGTGCCCAGTGAGTGTATGTTAGCACAGATGGTGAAAATACAAATTAAAAATGAGTTATATTCAGAACTTTACTTTTACATAAAATGCAATATGTAAGAGAGGACATATACCAATCTAGCCACTTTATAATGGACACATTCTCATTTGTACAATTATTTCATCATGTAGGAATGATGAAACTGAATCCAATTACGTGAATTGCAGCCCAAAGCATAACAACCTGTATATCTGCAAATTTAGTCATATTTCTTATGAAATTATTGTAAATCAAATAATTATTCAGCCTGTTATTATAATGTTACACTTAAAAAATATATATATTCCAATGGCAGATAATTTTCTACTTTGCTACTTATAGTAGCACTACTTGTATTGTTCTCTGCTCGATATATCGCTTGCTTATTTGTAAGTCACTTTGGATAAAATTTCATTACTCGATATGCCTCTTCCATACATATACTCACTTGTCATAAAATTAGTTGTCATAGCAACAGGACAACACTGTCAGCTTGCTAAAGTGTAGACCTGTTGTAGTGTAAGGAAAGTTCCTGGTGTTGTCTGTCAAGATCTCCAATAGATGAGATAAACGAGCACAAGATCTGTTTTGACAGTTTGTTAATGAAAGTGAAAGATGTTTCTGTTTTGGTTTGTTACTGGAGCAACTGTAAAAAATAAAAATAAAATCAGGATGTGTTGAAATAGCGATCTAGATATTGATGTAAATCTTTTCTGGATGATCAAAATTTCCAACTTCACCCAGAAGTACGATGCTTGAAGAATCATGAGGCCAAGAGCCAGAGTAGAGACAAAGATGGTTTATTATGCACACAAAAGCCCTGGGAACTACGCTTGTTTCATAGACTTAATCTTATTCTCAACATAAGTTGGATACAGTTGGGTTTTATACACATATGTACATGCAAGCAAACATACCCAAGGCTAGTTAAGGAAAACATAATAGAAAACACCCTGACAAAACCCATCCTGGGACCATGAATGAGAAAAAACCCACTGAACTGATCTTAAATGACTGTATCATAATAATGGAAAATAAGGAAAGATATTTCACAATGAGGGGCACACGGTGGCTTAGTGGTTAGCAGGTTTGCCTCTACACCTCCAGGATCCGGGGTTCAAGTCCCACCAGGGGACATGTGTGCGGAGTTTGCATGTACCCCTGTGCCGCGTAATCTCCGGTTTCCTCCCTCAGTCCAAAGACATGCATGGTAGACTGATTGGTGTGTTCAAAGTGTATGAATGGGTGTGTGAGTGTGTATAAAGTGCGCCCTACGATTGACTGGCACCCCTCCCAGTGTGTACCCTGCCTTGTAACCGATGCTCCATTCAGGATGCCCCGTGACCCTGAGTAAGCAGTAGAAGATAAATGGATGGATGGATGGATTTCACTGATGACCCTAAAATTATCCATTAAAGCAAGCTTAACTGTTTTATACTATTCCTATGTACTATAACCACGGGGCCAGGTAATTATCCTTAAAAGAAGGATTGGTCACACCCATTTATCTGCGCATCAAGCATGTTTAAATTAGATAAAATCAGATTAAATGTAGGCATTAGGCCAATCAAAGAGTTAAGAAAAATTGTGGTTTCTGCTACTGGGGCCTGGGTCATGCTGTTAGAGAAACACAGAAAGCAACAGCCGAATTATGACATAAATTAACAGGAGGGTGACAAAGAACACCATGAAACCCAGTAGAGTTTCCTGGCCACCCGCCACAAGGAGTCTAGCCAGATAACCAACCAATCAGTGTTAACCTGATCAATAGCGTTCACATGATCAATGCGTAACTCACCTAGGTCATTAGTGTATCATGTCAAATTTAAAGTAGGGTCAAACACATCTGTACAGCCGCTCAGACCTACCACTGCACTGGTACCTCCCCTTGTTGTGCTAAGATTTCACATAAAGTGACCTGATTCTGCAAATCATCATCCGATGTGATGGATATGAAGCCTTAGGATTATTATACAGTACATTAGCTTAATTTCTTCATGAGATAACACAAATTTGCTCAAGGCTAATCATAACACCATAATATCATCAGAAGAATAAATCTGAGTGGAAGTATCCCCCCAACTCACATGATATATTTTATTTACCACCCCTTATTAAGTGTCCCAGTAACTTAAGCACATAATCTGAATGATGACAAAATAGTATAGATTTTCCTGATGTGCCTTAGGAAAAGTCTTAAACTTAATTTCAGAATTTAATAAACATGTTTCTAACTCTTGGAATTTAACTGTGGGAGGTGAATAAGTTTTCTCTTGACTCTTTGTAGCCCCTCATGAATAACAACTTTCGAGATACACTTCACTTCGTTTTTCCTGCAAAACACAAACACACACAAAGGCAGATTCTTGTGATATTCTTTTTTTCTTCTCAATCTCCAGGAATTAATATGGACTTATATAGATGTTTATTTATATATATATATATATATATATATATATATATATATATATATATATATATATATATATATATATATATATATATATATATATATTACCACAGTAATGAGTTACCATCTCTTTCCCTGCCTAACTTGGATCCTTTCCTATGAGAAGAGGATTGAGCTTAATGTATGTTGAATCACTGCTCTGGCTCAACGCATTAATCCCTCTTAATTACCACCCACTATGCTCAGGTTGGACATCCCTCATTATTACTCTATTAATTTAGTGTTTAAATGGGGATAGGTTTGTATCTCAATAAGGTTATCCAAATGTGCTATGAGGGAATATTTATACTGTTGAATAATAATATTCTATTCTGGATAAAATAATTAAACAAAGCACTTTGCAGTCAGACCGGACTGACTGTCCTGTTAGTGTTAAAGTGCAGGAGTGGATTTATAAAGTAATAGTAAAGCTCCACTTATACAAGGGAAAAGTATCATCTTTCTATTAATCAGAGCTTTTAGATCACCCTCAATCCCACAGACCATTTCAGTACAACTAAATAATTCAATTAAAAGTGCAATTTTTTAATAAAAGTGTATTTGTAGCCATTTAAGAACAGTTTTGTAGAATTCTGAGTCTACTTTCCAGTGGCAACTAAAATGTCCCAAGACAGAAACAGTTTGAGTTTATAGAATTGAACTTTTATTTTTGTGTTCTTTATATGAAGCAAGAACTGCCTTTCAACAATGCACTGTTAAGGCACAAGAAATCCGGTAGACAGGAGAGAGAGAGAGGAGAGAGAGAGTTTATTTACCTATGCATGAAGCATGAGACTGATTTTTGTGTGTCATGGATTTCAAGGGAATTAACTCCAGCCCCACTTCTGGCTAACAGTGTGAGCAGGTTTCACTTAGAGAAGATAACTTAAAGCAAACAGCAACTGGAAGAGAGCAGAGAGAAAGAGCATTGCTAAACGGGAAGATGGAAGAACAATGTTGAAAACCGTCTTTACACAGGTTTGGAGGGTTTAAATTAATTACTTTATTAACTCCTCTTTAACCCTTTTAAAATTCGTGGTGATGGTATACTGCTATATAAGACAAATGTCGTATACTGAACCTTCTTTTTATTTAAATCTCTTGGTTTAATAATTTGACAACTCCAGCAGGAAACTTATGGGTGTGGCTCAAAAGGAAGAACAAAATGTGATCTTTACGTGTTCATACAGAATTGTGGAAAAGAAACAAATGCAAACAATAGCAAATGAATTTGTAATCAAAGATTACGATTAACATTTATATAATATATTGTTTATAGTAAAGTTTTTCAAAAATATTTTTCTATCAAACAAAACTTACTACAGAGTAAATATTCTATTTGTAATTTAACTCTGCCTTAAAACAGCATCTCTCACTGCTCTCTTCAGCACTTAACAAAGGATTATAGTATAAAATGGTATTGTACATAAGACAAGTACACACTACATGATTTTACCTAATCACAATTTTAGCAACGGCGTAGGTTTGGTCCTCCTCAGTAATGATAGGGACACGTACCACCCCGGAAAAAAAAAAGGACTGTTTAATGTTGACATCCAATTGGTTTATTAAAATATAACATCTATATTTACTATATCTATATTATCTATTATATATATTTTAAGATCTGTGTTTACATTTAAATACAAATTAAAACAAATCAACAGACC